GGCGTTAGTTACATGATTAAATCAATAAGTACATTTTTTGTCTAGTGTTGTTACCCTTTCTCTTATTGTTCTCCCACTGTCCCTTCCTATTTTATATTATTTATATTTTTTATCCTCATGCTTGTTCAGCTTCCTCGCTTGTCTGGTCCTCTATAACATGAGCCACACCTCCAGTCCACCTTCTTGAATGTTAGTTGGGATTTGATCATGATCCTTGACATCTTCAGACTCCTGTATGGCTAGGAATATAGTCAGGAGACACTGATATCTGACAAATGTTTTCATGATTATATATTCATTCTATGAGCTCATGACAGAATTTGTACTGCTTCTTCATTTTGCCTCAGTCCAAGTTTCCATATTGGATAATTAAAGTATTAATAGTTGGGGCAACCATAAAAATTTCACAATTGTAGTGTTCAGAGTAGGAATTGTTTTGTCATATATTTGATTACTGGAAGGGGAAATAAGGTATCTGTGCGGCTCTGACAAAGCATCCTGTTCTTCAGCAGGTTTTGATGGAGGTCCACTGAAATTTCAGCCATTGCATTGAGACAAATGAACAGTGGATCTACTCTTGTGTTAATCTGGGAAATCTACATTTCAACTATGTACTCCTTATTGTGGGTGCTCTGTATACAGCCTGGAATGTGATGAAGTAAGGTTCTCACTAAGAGCTATAAACCTTGACAGGATCACATTTTGCTCATCAGAAAATTAGTCATTCTGTCCCATTGTACACAGAGAAATAAAAAGAAATATGTGATTAAGTGCCTAATTATCATGAAGAAATAATTTAGGTTTCCTACTTAGATTGTAAAAATAATTCCATGGAGTTTTATATTCACATTTTTAGGTATAAACATCTCTGCTGTTATTCAATTTATTTTTTTAAATGTTATGAGCTCACTAACTGTAAGAAATGGGTTTTTTTCTCTGTGTCATTTTTTTAACCATGATCACTCTGATTAGTTTATTAAATCCAAAACAACATTTCTATTATTTTTGTAAATTTTATTTTATTGTAAAAATGCTGTACAGAGGGGTTACATTTACATGAGGAAGGCAGTGAGTACATTTCCTGTCGAGCATTGTTACTCTTTCCCTAGTTGTTCTCCCTCTATCCCTTTCCTCCCCCACCACCCTCACCCCTTCACCCTCCCTTTCTCTCCTCCTTCCCTGAAGTTATAAAGTTCATTTCCAATATACTCTCTTGTGGATATGTTGCAATGTGTCATCCTATATCTTTGTTGCACAATTTTGTTATTCCTCTTCCCCTCTCCAAATTAGACAAATGTATATACAAGATTCAGGGTATCAAAATCAAGTACAGTAACAACAGGGGTTATACCATAGGGGGAAAATATACAAAGGAAACAAAATAATCACATAGTACATTAAAAATAACAACAATAAAGTAAGACCTCTTGTGCCCATATCTTGGGGTTCATTTCACTTTGCATCATGTTATATGGTCATATGTACATAGCTTTTGAGCTTTTTCTGCTCATCTGATAAAATTGTTGTATACATACACTAATTATTGTAAATGAGGGAAACCATGGGAACTATATTTCCTTGGGTCTGGCTTACTCCAGCTTAGGACTCTGAGACTGACTGTCTTTTTTTGCCAGTCCTGTACTTGAACTCAGGGCCTGGATGCTATCCCTGAGCCTCTTTGCGCTCAAGCTTAGTGCTCTACCACTTGAGTCACAGCACCACTTCTGTCTTTTTCTGTGTATGTGGTACTGAGGAATTGAACCGAGGGCTTCATGCATACTAGGCAAGCACTCTACCACTAAGCCACATTCCCAGCCCAGGACTGACTGTCTTATTTCACAATTAGTCGGGTGATTCTTTCTCCATCCTCATATCTACTCTTCTTCCACCTGAAACTGAGAGCTATTCCTCTAATTGTTCTTCTCTCAACCCCATGTCAGAGAATGATAATCTAGAGACCTTGTCTGCACAAGGACTGCATGTTTACCATAATGCAGATCCAGCATCAAAGCTCTATTCATTATGTGGAGGAGGAAGAGGAAAACAAGAATTTATTTCTATACTCTGCTTTGCTCCAATAGTGTGTGAAATACTTCAGTTAACAGGGTTGCTATAGGAACCTGTCATTTAGGGCCTGGTACAGATGGACTCTGACTTTGGCAATGCCTGGTCTGTGAGCTACTGGCCTTTGGGGGAGCATTGCTATCTTTGTCCACCTGCAGCAACTGCTTGGACTCACAATAAGATGGTGGATTCATTGTCGAGCAAATGTTGTCCGTGTCTTTTCAGTTGTGATATCCAGCACTAGGGTGAACAGCTTCCTCACATGCTGGATTCCAGGTGGGAGCCTTCCTCATCGTACTCTGGATTTATCACCTGTGGCATTTTCCCTTGTCTTCTCTGGGCTTTGCAGCTCTGGTGTCCCACTTCACACTTCACTATGCTATATGTCATCCTTTCAGAGCTTGTTTATATTATAAACTCTAAATTCAATCACTGAAAACTTCATTAATTACAATGCCCTGGTATGGTTTTTTGTATCTGAGGCATCATGTCTGGGCTGAGATACTGAAATCTGGCATGTTGGTGCAGCTGAGCTGGCCCCTTCCAACCCCTACTGATTTGCATGTGCCCAGAACACATCCACTACCCTGAGCAGTTCTTGAAAGCTGCTCACATCCTGTGCAGGAGTCAGTCCTAGTCAGCACACAGCATGGACATGAAGGCCCCTGCTCAGTTCCTGGGGCTCCTGCTGCTCTGGATTACAGGTAAGGAAAGACTACGCTGAGGATCTCCTCAGTCTTCTGTAGTCAGTGATGCTTGGCTGTTTATGAAGCTTTCTTTTAACATGCTTGATTCTATGTATACTTATTACTTTTGCAATGGCAGGTACCAGATGTGACATCCAGTTGTCCCAGTCTCCATCCACTTTGTCTGCATCTCCTGGAGACAGAGTTTCCATCACTTGACGGGCCAGTCAGGGCATTAGCAATGCCTTAAACTGGTACCAGCAGAAACCAGGGGGAGCTCCAAAGCTCCTGATCTATGATGCAAAGTATTTACAATCCGGCATCCCCTCCAGATTTAGTGGCAGTGGATCTGGGACAGAGTACACTCTCACCATCAGTAGCCTGCAGCCTGAAGACATTGCCACTTATTACTGTCAACAGAATTATAATAACCCACCCACAGTGATACAAGCCATAACATAAACCTCCAGGAAGCAGAAGTGTGAGCCTGGGCTGTCCCAGCTGCTTTTGTCATGCTTCCTCTTGCCAGAGCTGTCCTAGAATCATAGGACAGGAATCCTGCCCAGGCTAACCTGGACCAGCGAGCTTCTATATCTCAATCTTTGGAGTAAGTGTAATTATAGATGTACGATACTGGCACTGTGCTAAATGTTGAAATATTAATATTACATTCCAGACTATAAATATGGAAATACTCTGACTTTATCCAGGTTATTTTATTCTTGAATAGATATTCACAATGTGCACAAAGACACTTCGAAGTTATTTCAAAACTTTTATTTTGAGATTTTTCAATATTTCATGCATGAATTTCATTAGCAAGTAAAGACAGTTTGCCACTTCATTTTTCTGCTTCAGGTCTTTTTATCCAATCAGTTTTAGCTTTTCTTATTGCATTTGGAGAACCTCAGTACAATTTTAGGTACAGAAGGTAATAGTGAACATTTCATAGTTTAATGCAGCTTGAGTGGTAAAATGCTAAATAACTATATCAATGAGTACAAAGTTTGTTTCAGAGTTTGCCTATTTATTAAAACAGGTATTTTCCATTATTCCTGACCTGCTGATCTGTAATGGATAGCTGTTGATGCTATTAGAAATATTGTTTCACATATATGTAGACAGATACAGTTTTTCTCTTTAACTCAATCAGAATGATGAACTGCAGAGATCAGTTATCTAATTTTAAAAGCGATTTCTACTTGTGGAACATATTCAACTTGATCAACATACATTGCCTGAGAAAAATAAGGAATGAGAGAGAGAGAGAGAGAGAGAGAAGCAAAGTAGGAGATGGAGATGAATGGAAGGAGAGAAAGGGGAGGTGAAAGGAGGATAAATTTAGTTTATTTCTATTTTCTAAATCCTAGTTCCACTTAGCAATCAAGCTGAAATTATCAAGAGAAACACTGAATACAAACAACACTGTTGGCACTGGGTATCCAGCCATTCTGTGCTCTCCCCTGCAAGGTACACTGAAGGTGAGATATTTCTTGAGCTTAGTCCCTCTGTCCTCCAGACCAGTTCCCACCAAGAATCACAGCAGTGTTCCTAGCTCACTGAATCTTCTCTGTTTTAATCTCAAGAATCAAGGAATCTTTGACAGTCAGAGGAACAACACTGACATCTTTTATTTATAAAAATAAAAATGGAGAAACCTCAAGATAAAGCAGATCTTCCTTAAGTCAGAAGCCCTCTGATTCTCAGAGTGACAAGTGAACATATGCATGCAATTTATGTATCATATTTATGTATACATACCTAATATATGAGATACAGTACGTAATAATTAAATATAAATTATATAAAATATATTATATATTATTTTGTATATATGATGTATTATTAGATATTAGTCTATGATTTTTCTGATTTTCCCTATTTTATTGTTTTCACATTTTTTGTAAAGTTGATATGTAGAGGGGTTACAATTAAAAATGTAAGGTAATGAATAGATTTCTTTTTGAATAGTTTCCCCCTCTCCCTCACTATCTCCAATGTCTACCTTGCCAACTATTCCCCCAGCCCAAGTTGTAACATTCATTTCCAATATATTGTCTAATAAGTATTATTGTCACATTGTTTTGTTATTATATGTTATGTCATTTATGTATCTTCTTAAGATTTAACAAATTTTTTAAACAATGTATAGGTGAACTCTTCTATTTTACAAAATATTGTCCTACTGATTATAACTTTACCTGGAAATATATCCAACTAATCATAAGGAATAACTTGAGGAAAAAACTCACTCTGAAAGAGTTTCTATGGTGGGTATTGAAGTTTTCACTACTAAATATCAGGAGTTAAGTATTAGGGAAAAGGTATACAAAAAGGTGAATTAAGAGCAAGTTAAAATGACAAACGTAGGGCATCTCTCTTTTATAGGCAATGTTTTAACAGTGGATGTAGGAGGAAATGTGTTGAGGAGTTGGAGATGAACTTCAGGGGTTTGTTGCCATTGAAGAAAATACTTAGGATTATGAGATAACTGATCCTATGAGTGAAAATAGCCAAGGGAAAAATTGGTCCATGGGTGGAAGAAAGTAAAATCCCAGAGAAAGATACAGAAAAGTGTTCAACACTACTGTAACAGTTACACAAATGAGGATGCTGAAGCAGAGAATTAAGGAACTTAACAGCTGCCACACTCCATAAAGCATGGAAGGGCGGGGCCACCAGGGCACATTGTTTGACCTCAGGCTCACAGGATAGCAGTTGGATTGTGTCTATGGATGTGCATTTTACCCTGAGTCTACAGAGACATACATGGAATAGAGTGGAACAGATGAAAATGCTTGCTTGATACACATGTTGCAGATGAAAAAAGACAGTTTAATTTTTATTGGGGAACTAGAAGACAGACAGGGAGGACATTCAGAGCCAGAGAACTTAAGCCACAGTAAAGAGCAGATCACACTGTCCTTCAAGACATGCATGGTTGACGACCAGCCATCCAATGAACACAACTTGAAGGAACAGGAAAAACCCAAGGTGGGTTCTAGGTAGACCTGATTTTCTTTTTCTTTTTCTTTAGTATTCCACAATCTTTATTTTTTAATTGTGAACATACTGTACAGAGGGGTTACAATTACATAGGCAAGATAATGAGTATATTTCTTATCAACCATTGTAGCCTCCTCCTTTGTTTACCCTTCCCATCCCTTTCCCAGCCTCCCCCTCCCCCACCAAAGTTGTAAAGTTCGTTTTCGACATGACAATTTGTACTTCTCATTGCTGCATCGGTTCTACCTGTATCCTTATTTAAACGACTTGTTTTTCCCCTTCCCCTCCACAAATTATACCGACATCAAATACAGTGAAAACAGTGGTTAAACTGAGGGGGAGGGACATACAAAGCAACAAAGAAATAATCTTATAAATGTGTTAGAAACAATCGCATGAAAGAAAAAAAACATTTGAATATATACCTTATGGTTCATTTCCCTAACATCAACTTATCTGAACTTTTCTGCTTGACTAATACATATACTAGATATTGCAAATAAGGGAAACCATGGGACCTATGTTTCTTTGGGCTTGGCTTACTTCACGTAATATAATTTTTTCCAAGTCTTAACATTTCCTAACAAATGGGGCAATGTCATTCTTTCTGATGGAGGCATAGAATTCCATTGTGTATATATATCACATTTTCTTGATCCATTCATCTACTGAGGGGCATCTGGTTTGGTTCTGTATCTTAGGTATGGTAAATAATGTTGTATTAAACACATGTGCTGGTAGCTTTAGTATCTTCTACACAAGAGATCTTTATGTTCATGATTCCTACCTGAGGCTCAGGGCATAACATTCTTATTACACAAATTGTGAAGTGGTTGATCTCCACTCTCATATCCACTCTTCATTCCTCCTGAATCATAGCCATTCCTAAAATGTCTTGGTCTCAAACCCAGGTGTGGGGGGACGTTGTATGTACCAGGAGTGGATGTGTATCAACAGACAGGTCCACCTTCAAAGTTCTTCTCATTAAATGCAGGGAAATAGAAAGGCATGAGTTTTACAGTTTCATCATAGCTTCCTTGGCTTCAAAAGTGTAATATTTCAGGTCGCAGATACATCATAACCAGGGTCGTAGTTGGTGAATCTCTCAAATCCAGATCCACATGCAGTTAATTTAGTGAAGGATGATGAAGAGAACTCTGACTTTGTCAGGGACTTTCCCTGAGTGTGAGCTTCTGATTGTGAAGAACAGTGTTATTTTGTGTACCTGCAGCAGCTAGGACTCACAATGATGAGAAGTCGATTCACTGTCATGGCAATGCCTTGATAGTGGCTCCCCAGATGTGACATCCTGCACTAGGGTGGACAGTGTCCCCACATGCTGGTCCTGATGTGGGAGCCTTCCTCACTGCGCTCTGCCTTCACTGTCTGTGGCAGTTTTTCCTTACTTCCCATGCTAACGATATCTTCTCCATTCATTGTGGATTCATTGCCTTGCTCACTCTTTATTGTGTTTCCTTTCATCAAATCTGAATCTGCTGGGACCACAAGTTCTAGCCCAGTTACTAAAAAATGTTATTCTGAACTGGAAGACATGATAGCATAAGAACATGAAGGTTTATGAAGCAGAAGAGACTGAAGTAGATGTGAGTTCTTGGTTTAGGGAACATCTTACCTTTAAGGGGAGTCTTTTTCGGCTATTGATAGGAGACAGGAATGTTACCTGAGAGATTTGGAGACTGCTAACTCAGAAATTCATGAAGATCACAAAGCTACACATATAGCCATGTCTTTTAAATCTTTCCAACCCTGCTGACTTTCCTGTGCCCTGAGCACAGCCCACTGCACTGAGAACTTCTTCAGAGGCTGGTCACACCCTATGCAGGAGAAGGTTCCACTCAAAAAACAGCCTGCACATGAAGGCCCCTGCTCAGCTGCTGGGGCTCCTGCTGCTCTGGCTCCCAGGTAAGGAAGAACAATGCCAGGGAATACTCATCTCATATTAACAGAGCAGCTTGAGGCTTCGTGGAAGTACTGGGATAATATCATTAATTAAATGACTAATTGTTTTAATGTTTCCAATGTCAGGTGCCCATTGTGATGTCCAGTTGACTCAGTCACCATCCCTGCCTGCATCTCTGGGAGAGAGAGTCACCATCACTTGCAAAGCCAGTCAGATCATTAGCAATTATTTACATTAGTAGCAGCAGAGAGCAGGGAAAGCTCCAAAGCTCCTGATCTATTTTGCACCTACTTGGCAATCTGGGGTCCCATGGAGGTTCAATGGAAGTGGATCTGGCACAGAGTTCACTCTCAGCATCAGCAGCCTGCAGCCTGAAGATTTTGCCACTTACTATTGTCAGCAGGGTAATTATTTACCTACCCCTGTGACACCAGTCATAACCAAAACCTCCCAGGAAAGCAGAAGTGAGAGGCTGGGCTGCCCAGATGCTTACCCTGGTGCTTCGAACTGCTGACAGAACATCTCAGATGCAGCCCCCATTTTTAAGGTCACTGGAAAGGATTGGGAGATAGGTTCTGAAGTCAATTGCAGACCTTAACTGTCTGTCCTCCTGCTCATCCCAAGCAGCACACACCTGACACTGCCTCTTCTGTGACTTACAAAGAACACTGCTCTGTACTCATGTATGGTCTAGTCTGTCCTACAATTCTGCAGTCAGTCAATAACGAAGCCATTCTAGATATGTCAGAACAGGTTTTTAAAAGCAAGGAAAAATACCTTGTGGAAAAC